AGAACATTGCCACGAAAGACGTAGACTAACTTACTCCAAGACAATTTGATGCCTAAGATAAGACCCTAGTTACGACCCTGTATGACCCCTGATTCAGAAGCCATTAACTAACTGGGAAATGACGCGAAAGTTAACTATTCCAAGCTGCATCACTTACTTGAGAATAAATCTATGATTTTTGGATTCCACTGTATTTCTTCTTATAACTTTGACTGTTTCGTTAGAACATCTATCAGACATCTAGAACGACATTTAAATTGATGAGATAATCAGCAGTTTGGAGTACATGATAGTACATGATAGTACATGATAGTACATCCTACCCGTGTATTCGCAGCAATTACACAATGCGTTGTAGAAAGCCTTGACTGCAAATTTTGAACAAATCAACAATAACTATTAGGCCTACAATTCATCATTAAATCAAATTATTTTTCTATTGTCTATTTGTTCGTTTTTTCTGTCAATATTAATAAAATAGAAATTATTTTTTTCAATGCCATCATCGACAGATATTGAAATTATTAAGGACAAGTGTTGATTTAACCCACTTACTTCAACAAGATACAAAAAATCTTCCACCCTCATCAAAGAATTAGCACTAATAACATCATCGAACACATCCCGAATGCTGACGCCATTTTGTTCCAAGATGGCGGCAAAGTCTTCCAACTCGTGGCGGGTAAGTTCACGCGCACTCTTTCGTTGTGAAAAATCCAGCGAATATTCTACGCTGATGTTCTGAGATTTCAGGTTCTCGGCTGCAGTTATGAAATCTCTGTCAACTGTAACCTTCTGCAATGGAAAGAAATGATTTGTGTAAAATGGAGGTTTACGTCCCACTTTCATGCACCTTGAGTCTGAAAAGAGCCAGAAACAGTCTTCGACTCATCCCCCCGCCCCTAACTAATGTCTGCCACAAAGGCAGCTTCAGGTGGTGCAAAGAAATAAAAGAATTGGGATAGTTTGCGTTTCTGTCCAGTCACAATGTTTACAGAATCGCATTTCGACAATTATTTTTGTATGAGTTGAATTATCATCTCCAAATTAGTACTGAGAGGTTGAAAATATCTTCAAAAGCAGAGGCTTAACTTGATGAGTAGGCGCTTGTGGACTGAAGTGGATGGGGTCCCCACTCCCGGGGACATTTTTTTAATATTATGCTCCTCTGCATTCTGATACTGTAAGTAATGGAAGATTTTCAGTCGGTAGTTTAACTTGGGGGGTGGGGGCCCGTGGACTAGCTTTAACAAGTCTCTATGGTAGTTGAGAAATTGCTCAAAAAGATGAAAATGTCAACCAATAAAAACAGTTCTTATATTCTACCTTTAATCCCAGGTGTTTGATATGACAATTGGTGTTGGATGAAATCATCTGAACCATTTTATTGACCCCTTCCACCGATAGAGTGTTATTGTTCAGCTGAAAATTAAGGATTTGTAACTGATGATGATAATGTAAATCGTTGAAACGTTGTGTACTATAACACCCATGAGTAGTATACTATATAAATTGATGATGACAATGTAAATTATAGAAACGTTGTATACAATAAA